TGGGGGTGCTCGAAGTAGATAATTTATTTTTCAGTTTCTCGCCCATGTGATTCTCCATCATCAGGGGAATAGCCCTAAACTCTATATGAGCCATAATCTAAACTCCTGGCTTCCCTTAATAACCCCCATAGAATCCCCTCTATAACCCCTTTTTAAGGAGTTTAGATTATGGCTCATATGCTGGGAAAGTATTATACTAGTAATAGTACTGGTAATAGCCATAGTAATAGTAATAGTAATCGTAATAGTACTAGCGTACTACTAATGGTAATAGAGCAATAACAGTAACTTCAGCATCCCAGGCCCAACTGCAGAATGGCAGTGGCTGACGAGAAAACATCTTCGTCGCAGTGCTATGCACGGGCCCCCTTCTCATAAGGACTGTAGCCTAAACTCCTTAAGCAGGGTTATATAGGGATTATATAGGGGAGTTTTATAGGACGTATTAGCCCCAGAACAAGGATAATATGATCTTATAGGCGCAAGATGAAAAGGGCTGAAGTTTAAGGTTTAGGGCTATTAGGATACAGACCTATGCAGAGATTGGTATCAGTGAAACCCGCTCCAGCTGAAGCACCGCTATGCTTGCTTGCCTGCAGATTGCTGTGCGTTGTTGTGCTTACTCTTGGTGAGTAAGGTATGAAGGGAATGGAAGAGAAAAGGAGGGCTGCTCGATTCCCGGGGGTTCTAAAGGGACTATGCTGGGGTTCCTGTTGTCCATTCCCTAATAACGAAGCGCCAGTTGGAATAATGGTAGTAATAGTAATCATAGTAATAATAGTAATAACCGTAAAAAATAATGAGCCCTCAACTGTAAGCCCTGAAGCCTAGTGTCTCGACTGGAGGATCCCTTGGGTAATCCTTAAACCCTGAAAAAGGCTTAGGGTTTAGGGTTGCACTGAAGGGGTCCGATTAAGTGGCCATCATAATCTCTACCCTAAACCCTCAGCCCTATATAACCGCATTATAGTATTTTCCATTTTTCTTTTCCATTATCCCTATTTCATGTTACCGTAAGGGGGAAAGAGCTAAAAGATCCCAGCTTTCTCGTCAAGAGACCTCTCAAAGTCGGCTTGCCGCTGCATTGACATTGTGGCGGTTGCCGTTTCTGTTCTGTTTTGACAGGCATAGTGTACATTCAGGACGTGTTGCTGCTTGAGCTTCTTCACTTCTTGTTCTTGCATAACGTCGACCCGCGGCTTACCTTGCTGCAATCCTGTGTGCCTCATTCTGTTCAGGTGCCTCTCTGTGCAACTTGCCTGCTGTCTGCATTCACATGCTGTGATTCAGTCATGCCACAGTTCTTTTTGTGTTGGGATGTGTTACTGTTGATGGTCCACTGTGGACGGGCCGAGTTTTCACAAATAGGTTTGTCTCTTGGCCTGTCTCTGGAACAGGGAAAATGAAATTACTAAACTTACTGATGGTTAGTAGGGGAAAAGGGAACACAATCCCTATATAACCCCTTCACCACGAGTAAGTCAACCAGGCTCGAGTCCAGGTTGTTGTGGTTCCTCACGAGAGCAGGCGAAGCTGATCTTCATCTTTGTGAGGCTGGAGCCTCACTTTCAACCTACTGGTTCGTAGTAGGAAAGAAAGGAATATAATCCCTATATAATCCCCACCTAGTATATTCCCATATTCCCTACTAAGAACCAGTAAGTTCAACCTGCACTATTTCCTGATCCGCTAAGCCCGCCACCCTGCCGGCATTGCATCCAGTTTTTTGCTACTCATAAAATGCAAGCCGAAATGCCCAGGACCAAATTCAGCCAAAAGCTGGCTTGAACATCGATCGGAAGTTCTGCACAGGTCCCAAAGCGAACGCAAAGACTGACGCCATATGGCCTCGACTTTTTAAACCGCCACCCGAACCTTGGCTCCAGCTCCTCATGCACAGATCCAGGAATTCAGACCATGGCAGGTCCTACTTGGATTCGTCTGAGACTATTACAGTATATTTGGATTATATCGGGATAATGGAAAAGAAAATGGGAACTACTATAATTATAGTTGCCCCGTGTGAAAAACGTGTTATAACCAGCTGATGTGCTACAGCCTCTCCTACGCACTCGTTTAGCTAACACGATATGCCTGCTTAGCACGTGACCTTGCCCTGGTTCAGCTCGTGCGACTCAAAACCCCAAACGCAAAAACTTAAGCTGGCTTGGGACCTCTATGGTAGTTTCCTTAAATAGGGGGACCCCAATATAAACCCCAAAATACTATAATCCTTATTATGGGGACCCTCAACAAGGTACCCCTAATTTTGGGAAACCCCCGTATCCTCTCGCTGTAGAACCCGAGCAAGCGCTCAATCCGTGTAGAACCCTATCAAGTCCCTGCGTGTGATGCCAAAGATCAGGCATAGCCTCAATATAAGGCAAGACCAGAATTTTCAAGGTATATGGTACTGAGTGTCATGCAGGATTCTTAGTATCAACTGGATCCTTATAGTAATTCTTAAAAGATTCTCTAGAACAGCCCCCAAATTTCCTTCCCCGCCCACCCAGAAGCCTAAAGCATAAACAATAGTATCAACTTTATGTTTCCCCTGAACCCTAAACCTTAAACTGCGTAGCCCATTACGATCCAGACTTGGTGCCATGCTCGGCGTGCCCAAGCTTCCGACCTTGGCGCCAATCACTGGCGCCCTCCTGGCTGGTCAAAAGTTGGGTTTAGGGTTTACGGCCAGTTAGTTCAGGGCTTTAGGCATATTACTAATTGTCCTGAAATGGCCTTAAGTAAGGAGGGAAACCTAAAGGTGGGGGTAGTATAGGGGGGGTAGTAGGGGAAGCCATGAACGATTGAGTTCTATCGGTTGGAGCGGTAGACAGGAGCACCCTCATTGGTGCTTTCTGGTTGTTACAAGTCCCTTTCGTAGTGAGAGTTTATTGTGTGGCAAGATGCATTGGAATTTTGTAGGTTTTCTGTGCGTTTGAATGATAGATCTTCGAGGCACATGATGCAGAAGTGTCTCTTGAGACGGGTCTTGTTTCGTAGGTTTCTGGTCGCGAATTGGCAGGCTTGCAGCCCTGAACGCCTAACCCCTGAATCCGATGAAGAGCAAACCCCGAACCCTCTACCCTCAAAACTCCAAACCCTAAACCCTAAGCCCTCAAAACCCTAAACCAGTGGCTTACCTATACCTCCCAAATACCCAGAGCGATGGTCATCAGCGGCCCTTTAGTCTCTATAGTATGGATTATTGTGGGGTTTGGGGGTAGCAGTGAACAGCCCATGAAACCGCAACAAAACATCAACAATGTTAGTCCCTAACAAGCGGCCTCTATGAATCATGACAGTCTTAAGGAAACCTAGTGGTGCATGTACTATCTAAGCTGTGCGGCTCAGAGCAATGAATCCAGCCTGTAGGGCAAGTTTTCCGTACAAAAAATCATGTTTTTCTGTGTTCCTCTTGGCCTCATGAGGCGCCTGAAGTGGAGGAAG